GCCCACGGACTTCTTCCACGAATGCTGGCGACGGGGATGCTCAAACTTGGTTCTTGGAGTGCATTCACTAGAAGCTCTTTCTGGCCTTCTGCTTCGTTGCATTCACATCTTACACTTCTACTCCATCCTATTCCATCGATCGATTTGTCTCCACTCTCCGAAATCGCGCGCTTTAACCCGATTCTCTCATTGCGTCGCCTGGTACGTAGCCGGCCAAACGCCGTCTTCTTTCCATGCCTCGCCTGGCTCTGCCTCCTGGTCCTTCGATGGTCCATAACGTGTAGTTTTTGTACGTTTGTTTCTCTTCAGAAACCGAATCTTCATGCGTGAAACTTTGTGTGCTATTTCCAGTGATCACAACTGACATATTCATGTTAGGAAAGAGTGCAAGAATTTTCCGCGCAAGATTCCTTTAATCCAGTTCTTTCATTTATTTCGTCGACTTTGCAACGGCTCCAGTTCCGAAATATGAAAGATGAGAGATGCGTCCATGGAAGCGACGCTCTTAAGACGACGTACCCATTGGATCAACATCTTTCCGCTAACACGAAGCTCGAATGATTTATTTTCGGAGGATCCGAATTCATGCAGCCAAAAGTTGGCATTCGCAAAGAATATTGATTTCTTCGGAATTTTGTAAAGAGTTCTAGTATCTGGCTAGTTGAACTGGCTTCGCTTCACCTTTCAATTTCGGCTTTGAGGTGATCCAACGTTTTGAAAGCTGTTAACTCCAGATGTGATCGTGAAAACAAGCAAAAAAAAGCGAAGAGGAGGCGTGTACAAAAGAAACGAAGAAAGAGAGTGTGACAACTTGTTTAGTCGATTCTGGCAGGAAAAAACGCCATACTTTCCAATAATCTTCCACTACTGATCCTATTGCCTATGAATATATGAAATGGCGATTTCTTGCAGAAACAAGTTTTATAGTTATACTTCTCGTATCACTTCACTTTAATTAGTAAAATACCAGCAGGTTTGCTGACCCAACGCATTTTGCCACCAGCGACGGGGCATCGGGCACTGTCGTGCAAAACGGATGCGATATTTGTGCTCTACGCGCTAACTTATACTGGGACCAAGTACAGGGTGGTCCAAAAATTATGAGGACCGCGTGCGCGCGCAGTCATATCCACTTTTTTCCGTATCGCTCCATTTTCATCTCGTTTTCTGTGCACTATGTGAAAGGGTACAATGTCTTCTTCCTAATGAAACCAAATTTCATGAAGTTCTCAAAACTAGTGAAATAACTACTTCACTTTGAGTCAGTCCTCAAATTGAACTCACTAGGGGCTCTGGCACGTTACATCTAGCAGCAGTCTAACCTATCAGAGAAGCCCTTATGAGCAACAGTTCAACTCTTCAATAAGTTTGGAATCACCACAGATGGAAAATTCGGGGACTCGAAAGTTACAGTTACCACCAGGATAATTATCAGATGCAGAAACTAGGTCTCCCCTTGTCGACTTTCGTACACCCAAAATGAAAAAATTGATGTGAAAACCCAGCCAGACACTCTAAAGACTCACATCTGTAGTGGATAGAAAGCCACACGAGTAGTCTACTTAGAACTTCTTACAGGACCGAGCACCCAAGAATAAAGCAAAAATCCTCCAAAAAGCGATTTTTCGAGTTCGTTGCTTTCGAAGAATTGTTACAATGGAACCATCCACCTAATAGCTCTAGATTTCTGTATTTCACACCCTGGATGCAAGCGCAAATAAATGCAACACAAAAGTTTGATTCCCTGAAGAAGGCAGAGCAGAAGGCCTGGAAACATTTTATAACTTCGGGCACGCCTTAGTTGCGTGCCACGGCACGCGCCATCCCTCTCATCCGAAGGCTCGTGTTAACGGGGAAGTGGCAGATCTCAATTCTATTCTGAAATTACTTTGAGGTAAGAGTTACAAATACTTCCCAGAAGTTGGTTTGTTCCATCAAGCTACTATGCGTTTTTTTACGACACAATGTCTTGGTCCTCATGAATTTTGGACCAAGTATCCGACCAAATTCATCCCCAAGACATTCTGAAACAAAACCCTGCTCGACCTTCGGAGACTGGGCAAAAGGGTGAAAGATGCCGAAAATTCGGGATGCCTTCAATCCAGGGAAACTGCTACAAAGAAAGCCTCACGCAAAGTGATTTTCTCTCCAGCATCAGGGCGGTAATGTGAACCCGAGTAAAGTCATCAGAGTTGTAAGTATACATGGCATGATGAGGTTGAAGCCTAAAAATAGAAGTAGAAGTGAATATCCGGGAACTTTATCGAGGTACTTCTTTACCGTAGTAGAGTGTCCGTCTCCGCATGTGCAAGTAGAATGTCAGGTCTGGGTACGGTTCAGGACAACAGTCGTAGAACTTCACGTTTCGCGAGACCGTTGTCACTTAAAGTACGCTCTTCATAACTTTTGATAGACGTTCTCAATGGCTGAAATGCTTAACGTACAAGGTAATGCCCACTCCCCATTTCGGCAAGTATTCAGAAATATCAAATCCTTTTTTAGCTGGCTGCAAATCAAGTTTGAATCCATCGTAAGTCCATGAACCGAACTGAAATCAAGCTTATGATAGGACAAAGCAGTAGTAACTGAGAAGGCTATTCCCACTGCAAAGCAAATGATATCAACAGGAACAGAGATTATTTCAAACTTGTTCGGCACTGTTATCTCACATTGCTTGAATGTGCGCCAAACTAATTATTCTCCTAGAAGCTCAGGAGGCTCAAAAAGCTTTTCATAACTATGTATTGAAAATTGAGCCACGAAGGCAAGCTTTAACCCTGGACAACTGACGAAGTTTTGAAATAACATATTCGAAATGGGGGCGGAAGTGGTGTAGTGACAAGTGGCGCGCTTACCACGCGAGCGGTCCGGGGATCAAATCCTGGGTCGTGAGTCGCCCGGGCCAACCAAGCCTTCCATCCCTCCGGGGTCGGTTAATTGGTACCAGACTTGTCTGGGAGGATAAAAACACTGACTTGAACATCGGCTGGCCCCCGCAAGTCATTGTATAGGCCACATCGCATTCAAATGCCACTGCGAATGTACAAATGGAAGTAGAATGCGTGCCGCATCCCAAAAAGGGATTGATCAACGGCAAATGCTTTATCCTTTATCCTTTTATCTTGAAGCCCAATGCTTGAAAGTAGAGCTTGGGGCAGCACTCCTGGTTACCTCAGCTGTTGTTGGTTGCGAGAGAGCAACTGCCTTGTTTTTTATTTTTAATTCTCTACACACTAAGGAATATCGGATAAGCAGCCGAAATGATTAGTTGAACTGCAGAGTTCTATGTGCACACATCTGCTGGACAATTTTTAACAACTCTTCATCTACCTCCGGGCTCCTCCACCTTCAATCCTAGGCAAAGATGTCTATTTATCGTTACAGGACGATTTTCCTTGGACAAGTGCAGGCGGTTCTCCAAGCGGTCAATACATTTGTTGCACCCTGTACATGCCTATTTCGTCCCCGGCCGCCGCCACACAGTACATTGCACGCTCTCTGTAAACTCGCTACATTTTGCGTTAGGCCAGCAACTTGCCTATTTAAAATGTTTGTGTGATAGAGTAGAAGAGAGCAGATAACTTCGTATAATGTAATGCTATACGAAGTTATTTGAGAAATGTTATTCAGGGCGGAAGTGGTGTAGTGGCAAGTGGCACGCTTACCACGCGAGCGGTCCGGGGATCAAATCCTGGGTCGTGAGTCGCCCGGGCCAACCAAGCCTTCCATCCCTCCGGGGTCGGTTAATTGGTACCAGACTTGTCTGGGAGGATAAAAACACTGACTTGTACATCGGCTGGCCCCGCAAGTCATTGTATAGGCCACATCGCATTCAAACGCCACTACGAATGTACAAATGGAAGTAGAATGCGTGCCGCATCCCAAAAGGGGATTGATCAACGGCAAATGCTTTATCCTTTTATCTTTATATTCGGTCGCGCAACGCGCGGAATCGAGTCCAAATAAGCGTCGATCAACTAAAGAACGCCGCGGTACCCAGTGGAAAGAACGGCTTCGGGTTTGGACTCGAGGAGGGTGCTAGGTGGGATCAAAAAGTTTAGAACGATTTCATTTCAAATTCCAGGGGTTTGTTTTTCAGAAACATTGAGTCTTGAGGGATTGTCTGAGCACAGTCTCGATTTGTTTCGATAACGTATATGTAGTGTTATGTTAAGACCATCACCAACCTTGAATTTGCAGCGTTGTTCATCAAAAGGAAACCACTCGATGTCAATTTTACATGAGATCTTGAAGATACCCGGCGGGATCCAATGTACTTCACCAGTATTGTACACCACCATATTTGTTGGATATGTTGAGTCAAAATTCGTGTCGACACTAAAATTGAACTCGATCAAGCAACTTCAAAGACTGTAGCACGCAGTAGTATGAAGGAATGTCTCTCATTATCAGAGTCCGGGAGAACCTTGCTCACTCAAAACCTCATCAAAAATGTTACAAATCAGAGGTCAATTAATTTTTTCCCAAGAATACTTCGCTCAAAAAATACAAACGATTTGAAAAACACATCCCACAAGAGTTTCATGGGTGGATTGCTTCTACTGCTGCTCCTCCTCATTGAATGCATCGCTGGGCCAGAATCTATAAGGAAATTTAAGTTTCGTATGAATTACTGCCGTAATTGAGCTAGCTCGGAATAAATTTGGAACCTAAATAAAGGCACAGCTGTAGTACTTCACGAAGGGATACTGGCAAAACACACAATGGGAAATACAGAAATGAGGCTTTTGTTCAAAGGCAGTGATAGCAGCGGTCACTGGATGCAGCGACCCAAATTCATGGTGAACTTTAAGAGACAGGACATGGTTCTCAATATGATGTGCGAGCACTACATCCTACTGAGTATGCTTTGCTACGCGGATCCCATACGGTCACAAGCTTGGTAACAGTCCATGTAGAATAGCGCTCCAGTACACGAACGCCGCGGTCGACACTTATTAGCGCATTTGCTCGTGCTGGAACAGCTTTCCCATATAAATCCCACACGTTTACGACAGGGTTCGAGAGGAGAAAGTAAGCAGCGCCACTTTACGCCCTAATATTCTTTCGTTTCTAAGAGTTTTCCACCTTGGCTTCCTGATGCGCTTAAACATTTTTCTCCATACAAATGAAGCTGAGGCCGAATAAACGTCTGAAAAAACGCACATTGGGAAGTAGTTAACCATTACAATAATGACCGGAAAGTGAACAGCGTTCACGAGTCTGGAAATTATATACCCTGGCATCTTCATGCCTCCCCACACCATATCGCGTGGACTATAAAACATCCATATCGACAATGCCTCTTTTGGGTGCTTTTCGGCTGTTCCTTCTTCACGCCAAGTGCGGCTAAGTTAAGGGCGTTGAGCGGCTGCACGATATATGAGGCTCACCATATCGAGCACGACTGGATGACCTTTGGCATAATATTCCTAAAGCTTCATCTGGTCTCATCAAGTTGTTAATAAGGCGAATTATTTTATCCACCTCGTCCTTGAAAGCACGCTCTGGCACTAGGCACGCCGCATTATTTCATACCCGAGCGGCACCAGTATCAGCAGGCGGACAAACGTTTGGATGTCAACGCCCTTCACGCCGTATTGAAAAGGCGCGTCAAACGCTAGACAGGTGAATAACGGTCGAGGAAATCCTCGACAGGGGGTCGTATTTGCTCCGATGAGAGTTGGGAGGGGGTCGTAATCAAAAGGTTCATCAACGGACACAACGGTGCTGCTGCCACTTATTTGCTGTCATCATTATTTCACAAGTGTTGTAGTTAGCCCAATACAAATAATATCTTACAACTGTCTGGAATTAAAATTTAAATGGAGAGTGGTTGTAGGTTTGGCTCGTAGTGGCATAGGAAGGCCCTGCAAAAGAATCGTAGGGAAAGGGCAGCGAGTATCTACTCTAGAATGATGTACATGCTTCGAGAACTTAGTGGAGGAACAGCATCTTGTTAGAAAGTTCAAAACAGGCAGATTCGCAGCCTTCTTGGCATCATCAGATCCTGCAACCGCAAGCGTGTCATTCATCAGAACGGGTTGGAAAGGAAGCGATTTGAATAAGGAATGATCAGACATCACTATGACCACAAGAGTTATCCTAATTAGTTAATACTGGAAATATCTTTTGGTGTGATTAAGCAAGTCGTCACTAGGACAAAACACCTTCCCAATGACTCCGAGTGGGGTCACTGCATGGCGCATACAAGAACGGAATGGATCTGCGCCAAGTGCATCATTTTCAATTTACTCCATCGAACTGACGTGTACAGAAGTATTTTGAAGGTGTTCAAAGAAGTTCCCTACTACGGCGAGGGAGTAATAGAGTTTTCGAGTGGCTTCGAAAATTTCCTTGACATTTCCTCGACGCAGATTTCTCGCGAACTAGAAAGCGTTCGAAACAACTGGAGCACCTATCAGAAAGCGTAAATCTTCTACTTTACAACGCTTTTCCGATTTTCAAAGCATTGCCAATGAAGACAGCTACTGTCTTCCAAAGAGTGGGAACTCGCATGTAAATTTCAATTTCCTCGACAATTTCTCGACGTCTCCCACTCTCGAGAATAGGCGTGCTTAGAAAAACGCTCAGCACAATTTAGAAACTAGAAGTCTTGTGCATTCAAAAGCTGCCTTCACTTTCTGAAATGGTTATCAATGAAGAAAGTTATAGTCCTTTGAAATAGGGGGTACATTTGACGATTTTTCCAACTAGCGCGCTCTAGGCACAGCGCGCGACGCGATCGCGGGTAGTTAGCGCCGCTATACTGGAGCGCGAGACTGTTCACTGTGTAGGGGCAGTACCTCCTTCAATGTTCCACTTTCCGGCCAATGTGGCAAAGGTTAAATGTTTTTAAAGGAGAACCTAATCTGAGCAGAATTTCTAGCATTTGGATCAAGCCGCATTTGCGTGGCAGCGGCGCTGCGTCCCTCTCGCACATCTGAAACTAGCATTTTTTGATATGAAACCGGATGTGCAGAGGACAAAAAGGGGTCGTATCAGAGTCCATGTTTTGGAGGGGGGGGGTCGTAAAGAGGCGGTTATTTCCTCGACACGATTTTCACCCTGCGCTAGAAGGGGCCGAATCGCAGCCGCAGCGCGCGTCAAAGGCGCTAGGAAGCCCGATCGAGCCGCAATCTACTTCTTCGTCCGCGAACCCCCTTCCGCTGTCGTTGCCACGTGGCGCTGCTTGAAAAGCGCGGACATTGTTGCGGCAGCGGTTGCACTGCGGTTCAAGGTCATGGGACTGGAGCAACTGGAGCCGAGCTCGTGAAACTCGTCCAACACGCCTCTTTCCTATCCCAAGGTGGAATGCGGCTGAAATAAAGGGGGTCCTTATCGGGGCGTAATCGAGGGTTCCTCTTGCTTCCTTATCTTCCCAAGACCACTTCCTACCTGTAGCTTCATAACAGAACGCTCTTCCACGCAGAGTAGCTAAAATGACTCTACTCATGTGCTCTATGTAAAATGTGTCTACAAACTCAGAATAAATTGAGAACCTGTTGTAGAGCAGCACGTCCGGCTTCCATATTCGACCAGCCGGAAATCGAACGTCCGTTATGTTCCCGTACTCGCTGATATCCCAGACGAGTTTATAATCTTTCCATGTCTAGAAATATAACTTAGCTTTTTAGGCTCCCTTTTATCTTACTAGAGAAGATCAACAGGTCGGTTCTGCTATTTGAAATCAGTTGAACACCTTTACATCCTTGAGACGTTGCTGTGAGCTCAGAGCTGCTTTATTTATGGTTTGAGCTCACAACTAAGAGGTCGCTGGTTCGACTCCTTGATAGGATTGCTCATTTTTTTCTTTCAACATTATAACTAGAAAGACTATTGACATCCTTCTTTTGACTTGCTTTCGATTGCAAGCTGCTGGTTCTGGCTGCATTTATAGTGATCACACGAATGCTTGGTTATTGGCGAATCTCTTTTGAGATTCGAACCCGCCTCTCTCGTTTTCGATTCTTTTTTCAGGTTCGTCACCTCATCAAAAGTAAAGATGCGGGTCTGAATCCCGAACGGTGGAGGGCACTTTCATTAGAGACAATATGCTAGACTGCGCGGAAAGAGCCTTCATAGCTCCTTTCAGAGCAGGGATTAGCAGCTAGGGAAGGCAGTTCTGAGGTCACCATCTTAAAAAAATGCACTGATACCCACAAATGGCCAAACCGACCTGCTGACCTTCCCTGGTTGGTGTTGCTATGTATATCTATGAGATCGTATTTCGAACTCTAGAAAAGAGCACATACCGTTCTTGTATGTGGGCTTCCGTACCAACACGGTCTTTGGCATGAATTCATGTTTTCTCTATTCTTTACCACTTTTTATCTTTTGTGATACCGTACACTAAGGTAGAAGCCCAAATGCCGGATGAAAAGGAGTTTTCTCAAACAGCATTTACATTTCCATTGAAGCTGGTGCAAAAGTGGGGCGAGAGCAGTGGTGCGTGATCAGGATGTCTAGCAAAGGTACAAGTGTGCGTCTAGCACAATCTCTTCCTTCAACCGATCTCATGAGTGATGATTTTCCTTCCCTCCAAAGCAAAAGCTCAAAACAAAAATATTACTCACGTAGTCGAGCCAAGCGTTCACATAGACAATCTGATTCTTCTCGTCGACATCGATGATTTGCTGGAGAGAAACCTTAAGTGAAAATGTAATACATCGAAAAAATGGGTTTGAAGAAAATACTGTGTTATAATTTGGCAGTATTAACAGCTTTTCTGAGCAACCAATACAGCAAGTTTGAAAATAACCCAGCTATAGATAAGTTCGCAGATGCATGTTGCCGAGGTTTTACATAGAAAAGCAGCTGTTGCAACGCATCAAAATTCCGAAAATATTGATGAGAGGTTGGATGAAGGATTAAATTAATTTCCGTTTTTGAAAATCATGGAGCATTTCGCAAGCTGCCAGCCGTCGCGGGGCAGCTGTGTTCACCACTCTCATCCAAATAGTAAGCCCAAAACGATGTGACTGAAAAATTTAACACAAGATACCCAGGGACGGTGCCTGACTTTGCGAATTGAGCGACTGGTACCAGTTTGTCAACAGCGATTATCCGCGATTGGTACGATTCTCGCAATCGCTGAAATTGCTGGAATCGCGGAAATCGCTTATATCGCTGGAATCGCGCAGCAGAATCTCATGACCGAAAAATGCTGGCTCTCCGAAGACCTTCCCCAACCCGTTATGACCATAATCCTTATAATAATCTTACATTAACTTATTTTAACCCCACCCTCCCTAACCCATGGACTCAATCCTGGGGAACGGTTCAGTAGGGATAGGCTTTTCGAAAATCTTGCTTATGTTCTGGGGAGGGTCCTTTTTGCGAATTTAGCAATTCAAGAAAATTCCGCGATTCCAGCATCTTTCAACAACATTCGCGCCATCCCAACATATACTCGGTCGTGGGAGACTGCTGCGCGAATCCAGCGATATAAGCGATTTCCGCGATTCCAGCAATTTCAGCAATCGCGAGAATCGCGCCAATCGCGGAAATCGCTGCAGGTAAACTGGTAGCAGTCGCTCAAGCCGCAGTCTGACACCAGGCCCACTCTGAGATTAAATAGCTATGATTTATACGAAATCAAAATATTTGTGCCTAACGTTCTACAAGATATGGTGAAAAGCAGAAAACTGCAGAATAATCCTCAAAATCCTCCTATTTCACAAGAATGCTGGGTTGTGAACAAAACTTTCGCCCCAGGCGGGACTAGAACCCGCACCTCTCGCTTTCCGGGCAAGTGCGCTACCAGTTACGCTACCGGGGCACTTGCCCGGAAAGCGAGAGGTGCGGGTTCTAGTCCCGCCTGGGGCGAAAGTTTTGTTCACAACCCAGCATTCTTGTGAAACATTCGCAACGCGAACTGCGGCGTTAAAACAGCAGTTAACAAACAAAACAAGTCAAAATATCGTAGCGCGGTCGCTTGGGCGGTGTTTGCGCTCCACCTCTAGAGGAAGCTCGGCCAGCTCTTTCTCTTGCTGTAGTAAAATAGTAGCATGCAGCAAGGTCAGACCGATGAGACGCCCGAGGAGGCGGAACGCAAACCCCGCCCACACAATCAACACGCAGTTTGATTTTGAGGATTCCTAGCAATTGCTTGATTTTCTGTGAGCTAGAGTTAGAGGTGTTCAGCGATAATAAAATATTGGAAAATGCTTGCATACTTAGCTCTAAACTCTTCTTTCACAAATATTCACTCCAGTGCTCCTCTTCCTATGAAGTTCCCTGAGCGGTGTGCACCAAACTAAGGTTTAAG